GCTACAGAATTCCATCTCAGCAGTTTTTGCTCTCTGAAAAACAGAAGTCACATCTTAAAATAAACTTTATAAATACCTAATATTTTTAAAATCCCCCCTATTTTTTTAGGGGGGCGGGACATTTTTTAAACAGCAGCAAATAATTCTCTAGTTGCAAAAACCTTTCCATTTGTGTCTGTGGCTTCTTGCAAAAAACCTCAAAGTGGCTGTTTTTCAGCCCCTACGTAGTATTTTTAGAAATGGAGTATTAGACCATAGGCTGGAAGGAAATTTGTGTTCAGCATGTGTGGTATTTTCGTTATAGGGTAAGCATTAAGTGAAAAATGGCTAAAAATTCTTTAATCATACTCTGTGAAAGCTTCTATAAAATACATCTGTATGTGTGTGTCCAACTTAGTAAATTAAAAGCATGGTGGGGGAGCTGACCACTGTTAATGGCACCTACCATTTCTAAGGTAATTTAATAATGACAGTTTATATAGGGACAGAAGAGAGCAGGAGAGGGAGGCTGGACAAATCAACACCTACACGTGTTTGTGGAACTACTTAAGATATTGGAATGGCGTCCTGAATTTAAGCATTAATTTAGTATTTTTTCTCTTACACTGATCTCTCTCAGATGCAGTGACACCTCCGTAGTAAATCACAGGGTAAATCCTGTTGCTCTAACATACTTTCTGCAGTAATGCTGTGTGAAATTTACTGACAAGTTCCACAGTTTCAGTGACAGAACGTTTAACTCTGAAATTCAGTCTGCTTCCAATTATGCAGGAAACTTTTCACTGCACTTCAATGAAAACACAGCAAAGGGGGCAGGATTCAATCCTGTTCCCATTTGAAGGCAGTTTTATCAGTGACTTCAAGTAGGAGCAGGATTGGGCCCTAAAGAAATCAAAAGGGGACGTGTCGTCTGCATGTACAGATACACTCCTCGTGTCAAGCCTGTATTTTATATACATAGTGTATGTTACTATAACCATGAATGTAGTAAAATTCACATCTATGGATGCATACAAGGATACATATTTTATGTGGGATTGGCTTTAACTTTCATAGACCTGTATATTTATGGGACTACAGGGGAGAAGTTGTATTCCTTAATGTCTTGTGAGAGGATTATTTTAGTGCACTAAGCAATGTTGTTCATCTGTTTTAAACTGTTCATGTCAACCCAGGTCTTGCTCCCATTGCTCAATTCAGTTTTAAAGAGTGATTGATTAGAAGGCAACTCCCCTTCCCCCTCCTCCCCCCAAACCACTGGCTAAGTCTGTTAAGTTTAAATTCAGTTAGAAGGACCCTGATAAAAATAACATGGAATTTGCCACTGCAGCAGCTGGCTTATGAAAAATAACCATCGCAAGCACTTAATATCTGAAAATGCACTTGTGATAAACAGCAGCAGCTGTTACTCTCTGAAAGTAATTACAGCAGCAGATAGTCATTTCAGTGAAGTGACTGAAAAGAAAGTGCTGTGTGGGATGACTTCTCCCTCCTTCCCAGGTTGTGAACCTACTCTTAGAAAAATGTGGGACTGTCCCGTTCTGCTGTGGAGCGTGGAAGAGCTCAAGGGTTTCTTATACTTGCTGTAGGTGTCACTGTGCAAGTCTTCAGAAAGGCTCTAGGATGGGTAAAATATACATACTTAACGGTGTGCCTCCTATACATCGTTATAGGATACTTCCAAATCTTGAACTGCTGTGGCTAGTGGTTACTTTCTTAATGTGGAATTGAAGTTTGTTTAAACATAAAACCTGGGCTTCCTGTTTGCCAGCTGTCTGTTACCAAGAAAAGGGCCAGCATTTTGCTTTGGGAGTACGTTCTGCTTGAGGGAGATTCAAAGACAACATTTTACCATTAGCTCAGCTTTCTGTAGGCTGACCATGAAAGTTCTTACCAGCTAATCTGCACCAGGGTGTCTCAAAATGTTCTTCTAGTATAGACCACATTTTTGAAGGACATGTAGCTGTCTTCAGGGGACTTCAGCAGCTGGAGGAAAAAAAGAGAGCTAGCACTGAATGACCAGCTAGCTCTCTGTAGGCCACCATGTGCTGCATGGACCACCAGTGGCCCATGTAGAACCACTGAATCTATTGTAGTATGAAAGCTGAGGTAACATAAAACACAGCTTTTCACCCTTCACATACTATATTGCTCTAAACTATACTGTCTGGCAGTTAATATACACAGTGGCAAAATAATGGCAACGTGGAATGAAGTCACACTTTGAAACCTATCTGCAGAATAAGCTGTGTCCTAAGAGGACCTGTTTGGCATTTACACTCTGATTAAACTTAGCTTATAGCGTCTTTTTCTGGGACTGATTTCACCCTGACCCTGCTGTGGGGGGGAGGAGGGGAGGACAAGTTATTTCTGTCGAGGGTTGATCTTTTGACAATCTGTTTATAGCAGACTGAAAATACCAATGTGATGATGTAATAGTTACTTTGAAAAACCAATGGAACATTCCTCAAACATTTACCTTTGGAAAGTAGCACCTTTAATATACATTATTTGCACAATAAACTTAATGGTTATAATAGATGCACATGGTTTTTGAAGTTGGCTATGGAAGCATTGACATTAGGTGGTTTGTATATCATGGTAGCACATGAATCCTGTGTGGCTCAGTTGACAGCACTTCAGATCTTGGGCTGCAAGGTTATGAATTCAAGTTTTAGACCAAGATTTAAGCTGTTGACCAGTGCTGCTGCTGTTTTGAGACCTTGAGCACACATCCCAGTTCCATTAGCAATTTCTCGTATAGCTCTTGTAGAGGATAGGATAATAGTGTGCTTTTTTTCCTATGACGAGATGGGTTTGTGTTGCAAAGTGAGTTATTGCTGAGCTCCCAAATGGCTGCTGTTTGCTAGCAGTCACTATTCAAGTTGTACCATGAAGCAAAATCAAAACTTTCCCTATTAAATATATTGTAAAGCATTTAGATTTCCTGCGTTTGGAAGAGGCCCTGTAAAAAATCTTGTGAACACTAAAGTCACAAAACAGAGTACAGAATAGTTGGGGTAAAATAACAAGGAGTTTTGCTTAAAACAACATCACTAAAAAGTGACTCTGTAAACTTTTTGTGGTGTATATTAATTACTAATCTTGATAACTTGATAATCTTGTTCAACTTCTTGCTTACATCCAGTACAAGATTTCTTAGGTGTCTCGGGTATTGGGATTCTTAACTGTATATTGGATGGATCCAGGAAAAGCTCCTCTCAGCTGGAACATGCGGTCTCTAGCCTGTCTCTGTACTAGAGATAATGGAGTGTGATAGACAAAGGCAGTGTCTTGTGTGGATTATATGGGGAAGGTAACATATAAGATCTAGTGATCTGTGTTTTGTACTCAGAAGGGGGTTTGCAGGAGGGAGCACAAAAGCTGTGATCTAAGGACAGGCTGATATGAAGTTACAAAGTTGGGTTATGCTTAAAATAGCTCTTGTCATATGAGTGTAATACATTTTAATATGAATCTGGAAAACCTCTTCCGCTTGGGGCGATTTCCACTTTCTGTAGAAGAAAACTTCAGCTGTTCAAAGGCAATAATTAGAGACAAGGCAGGTTAAAATGCATTTCAGTTTTACTGCTTGGACTTGGTTTTGGCTCACATCAGATGCATTTATTTATCATCACAGGCTCTGTGCATTTGTAGTTTTTTAAAGCAGCAGAATGCTAGCTGCTTTACCAAGAGGCAGGAAAGAAGGGGGGGAGGGGGAGGGAAATAAAACAAGCTAGGGGGGAAGGTGAGGCGGGGTAGGAGAAGGAAAAAATGGCCACAAACTTTGTCCCTCCCACCCCCACACTAAGAATCACTTTCCAATATTCCAGGACTTTTGGGGTGCAGTCTGTAGAGTAACAATTTAGCTCCAGCGATGTAAATACACACGTAGGTGGCCAAATTATTTAAACTTTGTCAAAACAACCTGAACACATTTGTAGTTTTGTGGTGACAGCTGATGAATGTTGGTATCCTTCATTGTAATAGCTAAATTAGCTTTCTATTTGGCTATATTTTGCAATTAGAACCAGAATTTTATGCTGGATTTACAAAATTATTATATGGGCTTTATTTATGTCTACACTAGCTCTTATGTCGGCCAAACTTTTGTTGCTTAGGGGGATGCTCTCCTGCGGACATGGTTACTGCTGTTCATTGAGCTGGTTTTATGACGTCTGTGGGAGAGCTCTCTCCCACTGGCATAATGCAGTTACATGAGCGCTCTTATAGCAGTACAGCTGTAAGTGTAGACATGGCTTAAGGGGCAGGCTCTATTTAGCACCATAGTTATTGCAATCATGTGTAGATAATTAAGGCCTGTATACTCCTGCTTAAATGGCTATTGTAGAACTTACGTATTCTATACTCACGCTGTTGTCTTTTGTTGCTTTCTGTTTAGAGTAAGAAAAGTATTTTTTGGAAACCCTGTAAGTTATATCTAACAGCATTTTAACACCCTAAGAAGATGGCTTAGCAATGAATGAAGAGCTAGCTAGCTTTAATCAGTAGAAATAGACTAGATCAATATCTCCACTGTTCACTGGGATCCTTCTTCCACTCCTTAAATGGCTTTAGTCTGGCACCAGAAGCTTATAGTTCTGAAACAATTTAGCCCTTTGTCAAATCAGGGCTAATGCACTGTATTCCTTTACACAACATATAACAAACTAAGGGTGGGGAGTAGCATAACTATACAAAACATTAAGACTATAGTTGAATTAATACTGAAATCTCTGCATTCATATTGTACTGAGCTGTTGGGTATTTACACTAGAGTAACATAGCTTGGATTTGATATTCTGGAACTACTGTGCTGTTTCAAACTAACTTAATATTCAGGGGTATGGATCATATTATACTTCTGAAATGTGAATACTGACTGATGTAACTTCTGATTAAACTTGAGTAACCTGGAGCCATGATTTATCAGCTGAGCAGTTCTAGATGAAAACTAGATGCTTCGAAGGTGCTTGATAACAACTCTTCCTGTCTTTCAGCTTTATCTTCAGGCCAGAATGAAAGGAGATTGGGCAAGACTTGTACGTCCCACAGCGCAATTTGGTCTCATTGCCGCATCTATCTACGTGGGTCTCTCCCGTGTTTCTGATTACAAACATCACTGGAGTGACGTGTTGACTGGACTCCTTCAGGGAGCGGTGGTAGCTGTGCTCATCGTAAGTTCATAAGTAGGTCACTAAGACAGAATCAAAGGTATTTTAAAAGTAGGTTTTATGCCATGTGTGGCAAGTACAGGCTCTATTCAGGGGGAAATGTACAGACCTTCCACATGCTCTGAAAAGTAGTGGGGCTGGGGTAGGCAATAGAAGAAAAACTTGTACAGAATTAGATCACATTATTACCACCATAGACTGTAGAAGCCTCAGTAATGGACCAGGACCCCAACTGTGCTAGCTGCTGTAAAAACAGGGTGTAAGATCTTTGGGGCAGGAACAGTCTTTTTGGTCTGAGACAGATGAATACAGACAGGGGAGTACCAGGAAACCATGAGAGAGTCCTGGCCAGTGATCTCAGCACACCAGCACTGTAACTCTTACATGTTTTTTGTAGGCTTAATGGGAAAGGAGGTTTAAAGATTAATTTTAAAGAGGATTAGGTAGTTTTGTGGCTTTTTTTTTAATGTTTTTGTTCAGAGAGCTCCTCCCAAGTACAAGGGGAAGCATGGGAGAGAGCATGAAGGTGCCTATTTGAAAATTTAACAAGCGAGCAATGGAGGGTCGCATCATGGGTAGATCAGAGGCAAGAGTTGTCACTTCAGTCATGAATGAGAGATGACAGGTAGGGTGTTGATAGGCAGTGAAGGGCTTTGAAAATGAGGTCAAATAACTTGTTATGGGAGGTATGTAAAGAGGGGTGACAAGGCCAAAGTGACAGGCTAGGAAAACTATTTATTTTTGCAGTAGCATTCTGAATTGAGAGTGTGGAGCAAGGCTGCGTTTGTCAAGACCAGAAAAAAATGTTCCTGTAATGGACATGAGAGGAGTCTTGGCTGTACGGAGAGATAGGAAAGACTGTATCTTAGATGTTCTGTAGAAAGAATCGGCAAGATTTAAACAGAGCCTGGATATTGGGACTTAGAGAGAGGTCCAAGTTGAAGGGTCTGAGTGACAGGCAGGATAGTGGTGGTGTCCTGTGCTGGGGTGAGGAGGGAAGCATAGGGGAGGAGATTCAGAGCTGTTAGCCATGTTGAGCTGGATCCACAAGGAGATGTCAGAGATGGGTAGAGATTTTAGTATGGACAGAAGGCAGGCTTGAAAAAAGGGTAGATTACCCAGAAATATGGTGTAAAGAACGGGAGCAAGGACAGAGCTCTGTGGAAATACCACAGAAAGCTGGGGGTAGGGGGAATGAGGAGGATCCCCAAAGGACATATAGGGGACAACTAGGGGTCACCAACTGAAATTAACAGGCAGCAGGTTTGAAATAAATAAAAGGAAGTATTTCTTCACATAACACAGAGTTAACCTGTGGAACTCCTTGCCAGAGGATATTGTGAACGCCAAGACCATAACAAGGTTTAAAAAAAAAAAACTAGATAAATTCATGGAGGATAGGTCCATCAATGGCTATTAGCCAGGATGGGCAGGAATGGTGTCCCTAGCCTCTGTTTGCCAGAAGCTGGGAATGAGCAACGGAATGGATCACTTGATTGCCTGTTCTGTTCATTCCCTCCAGGGCACCTGGCACTGGCCACTGTCGGAAGACACGATACTGGGCTAGATGGGACCTTTGGTCTGACCCAGTAGGGCCTTTCTTAATGAGACACTGCTGAGAGCAATTTGAGAGGTCAGAGGAGAAGCAGGAGGATATTCATGGATGCCAAGAGAGGACAATATTTCAAGAGGAGTACAGTCAGTGTCAAAGGTGGTTGACAGGTCAAGGATGAGGATGGAGCACTGCTGCTGAGACTGACATGGCTAGGAAAGAGTGCTTAAAGACTTAGCCCTGGTCTACACTGGGGGGGAATCTATCTAAGTTAGGCAGTTTCAGCTAGTGAATAATGTAGCTGAAGTCAATGTACTTAGATCAACTTACTGTGGTGTCTTCACCACGGTGAGTTGACTGCTTCCACTACCCCGTTGACTCCGCCTCTTGTGGAGCTGGAGTACAGGAGTCAGTGGGAGAGCGCTCGGGGGTCGATCTATTGCATCTAGATTAGATTCGATAAATCGATCCCCGCTGGGTCGATCGCTGCCCGCTGATTCAGGGGGTAGTGTAGACATATCCTTAGAGTGGTTACAGGGGAGTACAAGAGGCAGAAGCTGTATTTCAGAGGGTCTAAGATTGAATTGAAGGAGGAGGATTTGACAGTGATTTTAACTGGTGTACTCAATGAGCTTAGAGATCAGAAGGAAAAGGGTTGGTAGCTGGAGAGGTAAGTGGGGTCAAGGGTGGGTTTAAGATAGAAGAGACTAAAGCAGGTTTCTTCTGTGATGGGAGAGAGCCGGAAAAGAGGAGATGTTAAAAGTAAGGGAGGGGATGAGTGATACAAAGGAGAGCAAGAGCTGACATGGGGTGAGCAGATAGAGGGACATGATTATTCCCATTGATTTGGCATTGGTGAGGCCTCATCTGGAGAACTGTGTCCAGTTTTGGGCCCCACACTACAAGAAGGATGTGGAAAAACTGGAGAGAATCCAGCAGAGGGTAACAAAAATGATTAGGGGACTGGAACACATGACTTATGAGGAGAGGCTGAGGGAACTGGGATTGTTTAGTCTGCAGAAGAGAAGAATGAGGGGGGATTTGATAGCTGCTTTCAACTACCTTAAAGGGGGTTCCAAAGAGGATGGATCTAGACTGTTCTCAGTGGTGGTAGATGACGGAACAAGGAGTAATGGTCTCAAGTTGCAGTGGGGGAGGTTTAGGTTGGATATTAGGAAAAACTTTTTCACTAGGAGGGTGGTGAAGCCCTGGAATGCGTTACCTAGGGAGGTGGTAGAATCTCCTTCCTTAGAGGTTTTTAAGGTCAGGCTTGACAAAGCCCTGGCTGGGATGATTTAGTTGGTGTTGGTCCTGCTTTGAGCAGGACGTTGGACTAGATGACCTCCTGAGGTCCTTTCCAACCATGATATTCTATGATCTGGGACAAGTGGAGGTGTTAAGAGAAGGCAGGAAGGAAGGAAGATCATGACTTTTTAAAAAATTTTTCTTTTGGTAGAAATCTGTAAGACCCTTTGAAGAGAGAGGAGGGGAAGGTTTGAGGAGTGAGTCAAAGGTGGTGAAAGTGTGGCTGGGATTGAGGACATGAGATTCAAGTAAGCTGAGAAGTACAGGTGATACTAGGAAGATGGCCAAGGTGAAGAAGTAGAAAACAAATTGTTGAGGAGGAAGTCGGGATGGGGCAGATGTCAGGGGCAAGGAGATTTGTGCTGGTTGGGAATTGGTGAGGAGAGAGGGCAGAATGGATAATTTTAATTTTGTTTAAATTGTCAATTTTATGTTGAGGCCTAAATGTACTATAATCTAGCATTAAATTGAAATGGAAAACATTCAGGCATTACATACGACGTTTTAAAGACGATCCAACCACTGACTTGCTGGAAGGCACTGGCGAAGCCCCTGGGAGCAGAGGGAGTGCTGAACTAGCTTTTTGTTAACAGTAGCCTCTTCTGCATGGTCAGAGAATATTTCCTCTTCAGTTTATTCAAAGTAGAGAATCTGTCTGGAAGTCAAATTTGCTTGTTTTCCCTTTACATTTAATTCATAAAGGAACAGAATGAGGCTTTCCAGTTCTAAAATCTTGGGCATGGAATCATAGGACTGGAAGGGACTTTTGAGAGGTCATCTAGTCCAGTCCCCTGCACTCAAGGCAGGACTAACTTATCTAGACCATCCCTAACTAGTTTGTCCAACCTGCTCTTGAAAATCCCCAATGATGGAGATTCCACCACCTCCCTAGGCAATTTATTCCAGTGCTTAACCACTCTGCCAGTTAGGAAGTTTCCTAATGTCCAACTTAAACTGTCCTTTCTGTAATTTAAGCCCATTGCTGCTTGTCCTATCCTCAGAGGTTAAGAACAATAATTTTTCTCCCTCCTCCTTGTAGCAACCTTTTATGTACTTGAAAACTGTTATCATGCGCCCTCTATCTTCTCTTCTCCAGACTAAACAAACCCAATTTTTTCAATCTTCCCTCATAGGTAATGTTTTCTAGATCTTTAATAATTTTTGTTAGTGACCAGAAACATAGTTCAGTTCACTACTAGGGGTAATATATTGTTTAATTCAGTTTTTAAATGATTTGTCAAGCCAACAGTAAAAAGTTAATCTTCCTCTAGAAAATAAGAAATAGTCACCATTTTCTAACGTATGTAAAAATTAAGGATCTGAAATGCATGTTAAGCTATACTGGTTTTCCTGGCAGGATGATCTTCACTGGTTGCCTTCCTTTAAGAAAATAAAGTACAAATACAAAACAAGATTATCATCAAAATCATGATTTCCTACTTGATTTAAATTGTCCACCCTGGGTCAGTATAATGAGGGGAAAGATGAAGACTGCAGAAAAGAGGTGTGGTGAGAGCCATAAGTGAATGGCAGATTGACCAAAATTATAAAACCTGAAAAACACTGTGAAGGGAATGCTGGAACCAGACTTGTTGCTAGGCAGCTAGCGAGGGGAAAGGTGGTCGGCCTAGGGCAGGGGAGGCTCTGGGCTGAGGTGGGGACCCTAGGACAGGAGTGTCTCTCCATGCTTGCAGCTGGTCATGCTAGTTCATAAAAAGATGAATGGTTCCTGTACCACTGCTACTCCAGGTGATTGCTGATGGGCAATTGATTGATTTAAATCTCCTCTTTTTTGCATTTTGATTTGATTCTCCATTGGTGGTTGATGAACATCAAATGTGTTGATTTGCAACTAAATATATAGCCCTTTACACTAAATCTGGTACTGTTTGCTTACACGTGTGTGTGTGTGATAATCCCCCTGCTTAGCAGGTAGCTTAATTTAAATGTATGTGAATAAATGTAAAAATGTGAAAGTGAATTATGCATGTATATTTTTTTACCTGTGATTTATTGCAAGCTCTATTTAGATGGAAATGAAAACTGGTTTTGTGCATTTAATTGCATTTTTTTACTAAATGAAACCACCTTCCTTATGTGCTACTAACTGATGTATTAAATGAAAAGTATCTAGTTAGTGAATTGAACTGAGTGTTTCTGGTGGTCATGTCCTTCAACACTTTAGAACTAGTAAATCTCCTCCTTCCACCTAGCTTTTCTTTTTTGGTTTCTTAACTTTGAACTAAAATGAAGAAAATACTGTGCAGCTGTGGAAGAGGTTACTTCTGTTAAGCACTAGGTTGAGCACTTCATCAGCCTCTGGTTCCAGGGGCTTAGTGAAACCACTGAACTGCTGGAAGGCAGTGGCTGTTTAAAAACTAGCAGCAACCATCTGCTGCTTAATATTTTGTTCAGTAGATAAATTTACTTTTAACAGAAGTTGTCAACTTCAAATAGGTTTTGAGTGTGCTGATGGGCCTCTATGAATATTTTGTCCTACTGGGGTTGAGTGCACAACATATAAATGGCAAAATTAACCACAGATACTCCTAATGAAACTTTTACATTTTAAAGCAGAATATGTATAGCAATTTGAAACTTATTTAAATATAAAATGATAGGAATGCTTTGAATCTGCTTCATCTTACAACTGTGACTTGGAAAGCAGTAACACCTACTGTGATGCATGCAATTTACACCTTTAAAACCTTCCTTATTAGTGGACATTCTGGTGATTCTCCAGAAACTAGGGTGCAGTATTTGCTCGATTGTGTGACTCTATCCTAAACTGAAGTCCCAGACAATAAGTAGACTTTATGGTGAAACTAAGTTTAGCTCAAATACATACATCCATTTTTCTGTTTCATCCCAAAATACTGAAGGGGAAATATTTAGGTTTCACAGATTTTCTGGTAGTTGATCAGAGCTTTAATGTAAATAGCTCTTGTAGTCATGATTCCTCTCAGAACCAGTTACTTTAGTGCCCTGGCTTTATATACCACTACACAAGACCAATCCAAATTCATAAGAACTTGCCCTGTAGGACTACCTCCTTAATGTGGATAGTTTTAGCTGACAGACAATGGGTGTAAGGTTTTACAGGATTCTAACAGTATATAATTTGTTCACTTAGGTGGTGTACGTATCAGATTTTTTCAAAGTGAGGGGATGTACATTTAAACCCAATGAAGAAGATTCACATACGACTCTACATGAGACACCAACAAATGGAAATCACTATGGCAGTAATCACCAACCATGATCCTGTGAAGTCTCCTGCTTTCTAAAAGAAAAATGAATTCATAAGTCTCCATATGTAAAATAAATGCCTTTTAAAGGGACTGCTGCTGCTATACCTCTTGGATGCTCACATTACATGTGTATATAGTAACATAACAGCATTGTGTATATCTAATAGCTTTAAAAATCTTTTAAAAAAATTCTAATTCAAGCTTACTGCTTATAAAAACACTTCTGTAATTTTTTATTAAAATAACATGGTAACACTTATGTACAAACAGCACTGTGTATGTAAGATGCTTTGCTAGAATGCTTCCTGTTTTAAATACATACACCATTAAATGTCTGTCTTGGGGGTGAAAATGGCAAACTGGCCTGATGCCACCAGTCTAAAATTATTCTGCTCCGTGAACAAGTCTCAGATTGCTCCCAATCCGTAATGAGCTTCCAGAACATAGATTTTTATAGGTAGAGGCTTGCAGCAAACACAATGTCTCTCTTGATTTTGGTAATTCCTATCAAAAAGAAAAAACAGATTAGTATTATTGTGTCATAAAATATATTGGTAAGAGCTGAACCTTGCAACACTAGATTATGTGGTACCCGTACTAGTCTCTGAGACTTGTGTATTCTATGTGCCCGGTGTAAGTCATGACTTTAGACCCATGGATAAAGTACAGTGAAAATCTATCCTTGAAAGGGTAGCTGCATTATCCTTTTAAGCAGTTTTTTTTCATAAAATTTGGTAGATTTAATACTTATAACAGCTAGCTTTTACTACTATTGCAAATAAACTCTCTAAAGCTAAGTCAGACTTTCCAGCACCCATACCTCCCTATAGAAAGAATCAAGTTGACAATGTGTTAAATTACAAGTGCTTTTTCTCTCAGATAATGTAGGATTTTCAATAATAATTCAAAAGAACTTGGCTTGAATATTTTCTTTAGGAGCTGAAATAGATTTAATTCATAGGTACATACTTTCACCCTTCTATTTATAACCATATTCTAAATACATACCTTCAGCAAACTTATTTTCCAGCTCTGTGTTGCCTATGGCCTTTGCTGCTTGACACATCTGTCGAAGCAATTCTTCTAGCCGCCTCATACAACGAATTATGCTACCTAGATAAAAATGAAGCCTTTGTTTTTTTAGCAGTCACTTCACTTAATGGCAACAAGAAAGTTGACTAAATTCATTACATGACATATCATTAAATGTAACTTGAGCTTCTGCGTGAAGGATATCCTTAAACAGTACAGCTTCAGGCCTACTTCCTTAAGTACAATGCTTTGGATTTGTAACAGAATTCCATTTTAAAACCACTGACTTCATATGCCAACTTACATTCCCACAGTCCAGCTTTCATTTCTAGAAATTAAGTTTATTGGCCATGTAAAAGAACTCTTTGCCCCTGACACTTTAGTTGTTACCTATTTCAATCAGCTGCTCAAGAGTTTTAGAGAGCCTGAATATTGCACAAGAAATTTAGCCTGCACTGCAGGCACACTAGCCAGAGATGCTCCAAGTATCAAGACCTCCTCCTACCATAGCCATGCATTCCAAAAAAACTCCAACCCCATCTAAAGTAACTTTTCTATGGAAAGGTGATTGTCACTTGTCCAGACAATTTTTGCCACTAGAGAAGTATAAAATAGAATAAAAGTCATGAACAGCTGAAATACAGATAGCCTTGAAAGAAACAACCAATAGGCATTTTGCACATAATTAGCTCTTTTTCCAGAGTCTTTCCTTCATTATAAACTGAATACCTGAACTGACAGTAGCATTTGTTTTTTGATACATGGATTCCCTTGTCCACTGTTCAAACTAAGGGACAATCGGATTCTAAAAGCAATGGGATATAAAGCAGGGAGATTACTGAGCAGATGGGCTTTGAATGTAGGTGTTAAAGACTTTGTCCCATTGCCAGCTCACTTTCTCTGCTACAATGAATGGGGCTAGTGGAGACTGCACTAGATTCTGGTGCATGACATGTTCCACATCCTGTACAAGCGTGTAGCATAACTAAGTACATGTAAGCACAGTACTTGATATACCTAAAATAGAAGGGATGGTAAATACATATAGTGTGCTATTATACAATTTTTGCTTCTTTGTTACAATCTAATTTAAAGCTAGTCTGTGATGTGGAAATATCTGTCCAGTATAGATTTCACATTTGACTAAACAGCACTGAAGTGATATCCACATGGAGAACAAGAAGCTTCAGTGTAATTTTTTATCTAAATTTCCAGCAGATAGTGCACTATCTGCTGTGGACAAGCTTCTCTTTGATTAATTTTTGAGGCAGAGTTGTGACTTCACAGACGACTGATCCTACAAAGCACAAAGTGGTCTGGAGGAAGACTGTAGAAGTGACAGTCCAGAGTAATTTATCTCTGCCACCCAGGCCTAAAGACACCCCTCTTTGAAAATAAAGCCCTAATTCCACAATTGTCTATATTCAGTGAAAGCCTGCACACATTTGTTTTGTTAAGGCATTCTTCACATGAACACATTCATTGCTGCCATTATGTCATCTACTACTGCAGGAGTAACTCCTACAGTATCTGTAAAACCGCTTGCAGCTATTGCAGGTTAAAAGCCGCATGGCATCAATTACTGAGACAAAGCACGAGTCCAAAATAAAGTGAACCATCAGCAGTTCCCCTGAGCATAGCCACGCTGCATTTTGGCAACATCAACTCAGTTTTCTGGAAGTCCCTGCTAGAGTCTGTTCACAAGAATATAATTCCACCAAGCACCAGCTTGCACAGAGAGGCTTCTTTATAGCTGTTGCAGACAAAACAAAGTTGTACACAGCAACCAGTTATTCCTAAACCTACATTATCTTCCTTTTAAAAAACCAAGTCAATCTATAAATGTTTAAACCGATTATTGCTTGGCAGTTTTCTTTTTCAAAACTCTAGGTCCCTTTTCTCTCCCGTTCCCCCCCTCACTTCTACCCCACTATGGCTTGTAAGTATAAGATCCTGTCATGGCCACTTTACTTCTGATTGTTAGGGACTGGGTTGATTTCTAGTCACAAATCAATGCTGCTGCTGCTATTTAGCAAGAAACCTTTCTTTGGAAATGATGCACAACACTCCACCCCCATTTTGGAAACAGCTTCCTGCATTCAAAGGCTCAGTCTGCAACAGGAACATTAGGCGCTGCAGTTAGTACACCTTCACTACTGAGGGCAGCTCTAATGTAGAAGGACAGAGCTGCTCAGAAATGTTTTGCCAAATCTATTTTAGATTTGATAAAACTTGTTCAAACACCCAGCAGGTTTCTACTGGAAACCTGTGAGTGCTCTAGGGTCTACAGCTTGTGGCAGAGAGCCTGCCAGCCACTGGAACACTGGCAGGAGTCAGGCATTCAGTTTATAGTGAAGGAAAGGCTCTGGAAAAAGAGCCAATTGTGTGTAAAATGCCTATTGGTTGTTCCTTCAAGGCAGTTCATGGTTTTTATTCCATTTTATACTTCTCTAGCTGTAAAAATTATTTAGACAAGTGACAATCACCTTTCCATAGAAAAGTTACTTTAGATGGGGTTGGGGTTTTTTTTTTTTTTGAATGCTTGTGATGGCTATGGTAGATAGTGATATTTTGAGGATTTCTAGCTATTGTGCCTGTAGTACAAGCTAGATTTCTTGTGGCTCAGGTCTCTAGGAGCCCTGGGGATTCCCAACCCCAGGACAGTCTACATGGCAGGGCTGCCACAGACTCTGGGAGCCCTGGCAGCAGATCACTCAACTGACATTGTCAGTTTTATTTTTTTTCCCCCAGAAACACTATGTTTCACTATTTCCAAAATGACATTTTTGTCTTGCTGAACAGTTTCCAAATTCAGTTTTATTCCAATGGAGAATTAACCCAACTTCTGAAAATCCAAAATTTCTTACAGACTAAAAATCTTGAGTTTTGACCAGCTCCAAAAGGGGGGGGGATCAATTCGTTTGTTTGTATAACCGTCAGCGTTAAAAATGTCCAATACCCATCTAGCCTACAGCTTCCCTCATTGCTACTGTTGGTGATGGAGCTACACTGCTCATGAGTTACACAGCCTAATTCTTCCACCAGAGATCCTGCCCTGGTGCCTGCTGGTCCAGATCACAAAAAACCTGGATCAGGATGTAACTGTCTCCCATGTAATAGCAAAGAACATACCTGCTAAGCAAGCCCTTCCTCTAGCCACTTGCTGTGCAGAAAAAAAGGGAGGAAAAAACAGGGGGTTCTATCTAAATCAACATTGTGCAGTGTTTTTACTCAGTACAATTTGGTGTTTTTGTAATAATGAGGAACAAATTAAGTATGCAAATGTTTAAGCTCTCCCCTTCCCCCCAGAAGGTCAGATCCTCACATCTACCCCTGTCCACAACACAAAGGGGAACAGATGATATTAATCTTGTCCTCAGTGCCAAATGCCTCCTACCACCATGCCAAAGTTTCTAGTTCTCACCCCATCCTATCCCACCATACTACATGTTGCTTTCAGTGTGAAAGAGAATCTTGTAGTATGGGGGCAATATCAAATTAGAAAGAGTTAGGGTTTGTCCAGACAAAATAGTTAGTGTGAGACATGCCAGGGTGTAAATCTAGTGGGTCATGCTCTAACTGTCTATGTGGATTTTGTTAACATGCACTAGAAGTTCCCTCGTATGCACTGACCTACTACCAACATCTAGACAAGCCCTTCAATAGAGACTTGTATTTAATATAACAATAATCACAGTGTTCCTTATTTTATTACTCATTTTCATATTCAATTCAATAAAAGCTTGTTTTTTAATCTACTTGAAACCCCTATGTCAATGTACCACAGGATTCAGTGTCACTATGCTGCAGAAACTCAGGTGCTTTGATATAAAAATGTAGATGCAGTGTGGTACAAAGTCCACAATGCTTTATCTGGGTAAATCTTCAGAGAGAGTCAGCATTTATTTTTGGACAATTCTGCAGGAATTGTCTCCTTTTACAAACCCCTTTAAGGGACGAATCATGCATCTTCACCCTCACAAAAGATGAAAGATAGACCCATAAGGTTAGAGGAAAAGTCTGCTGGCTCCACCATTGCAAAGAATGACCGGAAGGCTACGGTAGCCATAATGGCTAACAGCAAACAGCCTGGGCTGTGACTCTGTTCCCCATTTGCAGCCAGCAGTCCCTCTTATCCAGAACACAGGAAGTATGTAACAAATGGAAAAGTTGTATTTTTAATTGTCTTTGTGTGGCCTATTCAGCCAAGAGTGAACTGGGAAACACAAGAAGAACGGCTAGCTGGGAGTAGCTCTTGATTTCCATCATCTGTTTCCCTCCTTATTCCTTTGGAGCGTATCTCCAAGGGATACAATTTCTTCCAGTGGTCAGAAAGGCAGCCTCTCAATAGGAGGAATCTGCTGAGTCCAGAAGTACTGATTGCCAGGTTTTCTGTTGGTCACAGGAAACCTAGCTCAGTAGGCTTTTGGCACTAAACATCAGATTTCCAGCATAAACTAATGATAGCCAGGAATTCAGAATAAATGAGCAAGAATGTGTCAATTTCCTTATTTCATAGATTACCGAAACTGATGGAACACAGTAACTTTGTGTAGGGAAGAAAAGTGCTAGCCAACACAGTGCTGGCCACAGCGCTGCTGGCAGGGCAGGCTAGGACACGTGTTAAGCATGTCACCTAATCATTATTAAAACACTGGTTCTTAAGATCAAAGGCAACACAAACTCGCCCTGTTTTTGATCTTACGATGAAGAAATAGTAATTAAACTGACATGATGCTGAGCACCATTCCGCCTGGACTGCAGCCCGTGATGTAGTCATGCTGGTTAACTTGATTCACCACAACCACCTTCAAGCACAGGGAGATTCTGCCACATAGACCAGCCCCCAGAGCAGGGGAAATTCTGTTTTTGTCCTTTAGCTTTGGGGGAACTTGCTGTCTCTTACACGTGTATGTAGGTGATGTAAGCCATAAAAGTGGAATCCTAGGGCAGGATAATGGAACTGTAGAAATTTCCCTTCTTCAAAGAAGAAAAGGGGAGGAGTGAAACAATTTTTGGTTTGAGGCCCAATTTCTTGAGGAGGCCTGGAGGTTGCTGCCTTCACTGAAAGTGTATTACAC